TTTAACTCTGACACCATATATCAGATTTATAGTGTGCATTAAGTAAATAGAATAAAAGTTGTCACAGTTACATTCAAAGGGAGTAACAGACATACGTATATTAAGAAGCATGAAGGCTGTGCATTTCCCACTAGTTTGCCAATATGAGCCCTAAATGTCATCATACATGTCACAAGTGTCACCAACCTCATCTATCTTTGGACACTGAACAAACAACAAGAGTTTGATTCCAAGTCTCTCTCTAACTCTCCTCCAGAGAGTTCCACGCTGGAGATGACGTCGCCGGTTGCCCAGATATCGTTATGGTAATCCTGGCTGTGGGTCTGTCTTTGGCTCTTTTAGGTGTGGAAGCTGCTTCGTCCCGAGGGGGCTGATGTGCCACACATACAGTGGAAAGATGTCGGCTCCATTCACAAAAACAGGTAATGACAGTGAATGAGCAGTGACATGGAGCCAGCAGCAGAGCAGGTTACAGAAACACGCATTTGGTCAAACTGAATCCCCAGGGGAAGGACAATAATATGTGGGGAGGAAATGATCATGCATTTTCCTGTAGATCTTGCCTGAATATATAAACTTGATTGATGATAATCTTATTATCTAATATAATTTGATTAGGTTACAGACAATACATGACTATTTGGCAGACATCAACAGACAATAAAAAGCAGTGTGCTGTTGTGGACTTACAGTTGGTGGTCCCCAGTGTATTAGCATAGTGGCTGGCTGGCAAGACCAGTTTGATGGTAACCTTTATCAGTGAAGGGCTGGACACAGTTCAGAGGTATCCATCTCTCCTCAGCTGTCCTCATCAACAAGCCCCTCTCAAGTATCCCGTCCTTTAAATTCCCATGTTTTGGAAATACTTTTTGTTATACTCTTATTTCATCGTTGCTCTCCAGACTTCACTCATTGAGTTTTGCTAATTTGTGTGGAGACCTGGTAAAGACCCTGACAGGACAACTGCAGACGGAACAAGAATTAAATAGCTAAGGCATTGAGTTAACTGCTGTGGCTCACTCACTGATACGCCTCCATTGCAAGAAATTGCAGCCCCACACAGAGCCAAGTCCTCTCATTACAAGGAGCCTGTGGTCAGGAGCCAACAATGAGCATATAGGTATCGCTTTTGTTTCCTGGCTCTGGATGTATTTGTCAAGGTTGGAGGAGCCGGAGCCAGAGCCAGAAGGGTAAAGGTCAGCGGCATGAATAGACGAGCAGTCACTGAGATACAGCGTTGAGATTGCAAGGCTGTAAATGTATTTAGGCCCCAATGAGAACATAAAGAAACACAATCTCAGACACAAATGCAGAAACATTTGCATGAATCATGAACAGTCAAGTTCAGGATTAAATCAACAATACAAAGACGGACAAACACACAATTTTGTCATTTTGCCAAATGCCTTTTTGTTGGTGCTTGTGTGACCAGACACACACACCGTGAATGAATGTACATATTATCTTTCAGCAGGCGCAGGAAATAGAAAAAGCCTGAATCTCGTCCAACATATTGTACCTGCTGGATTCTCCTATTCCTCCCACGGGTCTATTCCTCCCCCGGGTGTCATGAGACAGGCTGTCGATGATAGAGCCAAAATGAGTGTCAGCAGGTGTGTGTGTGAGAGAGACTGTTTGTTTGTTTGCATGTGGAAGGTTATTATAGTTCAAAAATCTGAAACTATGATTAAATGTAGGGAGAAAAGGAAAACTAAAAGTTTCTGTAGACGCTAAAATTCAATCACTTTTGAGGATAACTTTTAGCAAAGTTTAGTAGTCAAATTTAAGTGTTGAAAGAATAGAGACAAACAACTACAACATTTAAACTAGTAAACAGTGTGATGATCACTGCTGTCACCAGCCAGGAATCAGGCGAGTGTGTCAGCTGTTGTTTGGTGAGACACACTCATCTATGAAACAACAAAAAGGCTTTGAGTGTATTCATATACCTCGCACACCCAATTAAGGCTTTATCACTTAATTGTATATGTTGGATGTATTTATTGCACGGAAATATGTAGATTTACAACAAAAGAGTTTTGTGAGCCTCTATTAAAGTAACATTATGCAAGAATTGGTATTTTTGCTGTTTTGCGCCCTCACAGTTTCAGAGTGCAATTAACTTATTTGCCGCTTTCATAAATATGAACAGCTGAATGTGCGTTTGTTGTGATTATATTACTCATGATCAAAATCTAACTTTGCTAACCCCGCCAAACATCAAGCAAGTGAAACAAAACAAGACATAGCAAGCCAGCTACTACTTACTAGTCCGACAACAACAAGGCCCCATTTTATTTCGCTGTCGCAAACAACTTCCAGCCAGTCTGGGATTTACTCTTATCCGGCAGCGTCTTGCTCAATCCGTCTCTCCCTTTCTCTTCTTAGCTTCCTTCAGCAACGTCCTCTTTGGTCTCTTTCTTCACCTCGACCATGATGTCCATAGAGGCTCCTAAACCTGGTTACATTGCCTGCATGTCCGGCTCCGGTTCTGGCACAAAACCTGTGCCACTCCCTGCCAGCATTGAAGCTGTTATTTCAAGGTAAAATAGTTGAAAAATTATATTTGCAAAAATGATCAAACACTCACAAATTCATGAGAAATACACCCGAACACATTAACTGCTTCACCTTTGTGTGTTTGGAGCATGTTGGCTGACATGTCAACATGATCACCCTCAACATCAGGTGAGTATCAGTGCTTTGCCCCCCCGTGCCACAAATCCTCATCTGCCATCATTGACTGACTGACATGCATGACACAGCAGGTCTCCACTGCACCGTCAGATCCTCCAGAGGCCTTACACAACTGCCACGTCATCAGAATTATATAATTACCTAATTGAATCCCATTGCACTCTAGGATGATGTGTTGTGGTGATTTTTTTTTCATGTCATGTCAGTGGAGGGGCAGATGACAATGCTGAAAACCAATATTGATTAACTTAGAACTGCATCGTTAGTTATATCTGTGGGCTTCCCAGTCTAAGTGAGCTGACTGTATCAGATCACAGGCTTCACCAGGCTGTTATTTACAACCTCGCCACGAAGAGAACATGTTGCGTGAGTTATATGCTTGTCATAACCAAGGTCAAGCACATCCCTCAGACTTGCGTTGCCTTTCAAAAAAAGTTTGCCATCCGCAAGTTCTGACCCACATCCAGATTTGAGGCAATAACTAATTTTGACTGAATGGTTACAATTTTGTGAACGTCACTGCTACAACTACATCTTTCCTTTACCGTCAAGTTTTCGTGCAAGTAACAAGAAATGGAGAGGCTGAGTGTAGCAGAGTTGTCACATTTGGCAGATGGCTGGAAACAAAGTCTGTGATGATGGGATAAACCTGCGAATGCTTCAGTTTAGTCATGTACTGAAGTTCAGTCCAGCTGTCTTGGACTTACTTCTACTTGATATCTCTTGGCGATACAGATGACATAACAATTCCTCAAACAGAAATTTGACTCTCTTTTATCTGAAACATATTGTTTTCTGACCTCGCCGGCTCACTCAAGACATGAATTTAGGCCAAACACATTCAGTTTCAGCTATTTATAATGTTGCAGGTTGTGGATGTGCCCCACATAAGATTATGTCGGATCGTTTTTCTGGTGTAATTCCCTCTCTAAATATGTTCAGGAAAGACTTTGTCCAGACTACACACACTTCCTCCTGAGCAATAAATATGCCTGTGATTTTAACACTCTCTAAAGTAGTGTGTATATACTGTCTCTATAGTGACAGTCACTGAGATACACCAGGGGTGTTTCTGAGCTTTTACAAGTGGTAACATGAGGACAGATGCCACATTTCCACGAGTCATATGTTGTATGTTTTATCCGTTCATGCTGAGGTCTGGATCATGGAATATGTCTGCTTCATATGTGATTATCTTTTGCACAAAATAAAATCATGTGTTTTCTGTGCTGACAAACTGTTTATTTTTGTATTCATCCATCTGATCCGAAGGTCGGACCGGCCTGTTTTTAATAAGCTAGTTCAGGGGACTTCGCCAGAGAGACGTCATCAGCATCATTGACGGGAGCTCTCTGGCCAATGCTGGCTGTCAATTCCTTTCAAACAGTTCACCCGGCACGAACTGGGCAGCCGCAAACGCCTTTAGCTGAACGTCATTTCAGAGGTTCCAAGCATTTAGGTGTACAATGCTGAAGTCCAGAGGGTATTTTTGAAAGGAAGCTGGAACTAAAAGATACACATTTGTCATGTAGCAAAAGTCACTGTGGAAAAACTTCATCAGCTTTTACATTTAAGGCAATGAGATACTAATTAATATAAATTTATTCTCTAAACAGAAAAGGGAGAGTCCTCATTTTCACTCCAAGCTGGAGCTTTGTGGCGGTCTCATTGGCTAATGTGGAAAATGCCCCGAGGCAGCACCCACTTCCTATGTAGAACCAAATCAAATCGGCTCACAGCCTCACTGCGGACGTGTCTGATCAATAGATCCCTCGACTACGTCTCATGCTGGCAGAATGCAGCTGTGGATGGAAACTGACTAAATTTGCTGACAGATGTGTCATACTGCAGACCCACGTTCACCTCTGATAGAACCATATTGATCACATTTACTGTATTTTGTGCATATTTATGCTGGATTAGAGGCACGGGTGTTCACACAATGCTGGCGGCATCCTGGTGTGTTATGCAGTAATTTGTCATTCCTTTAAAGAAACAATGACAAAGTGAGCATTATTACATCATATATATTTGGATTGATATATCCGAATTTCTACGGTATACTACTGCTAATTCTAGACATTGTCACCTTTTCTCAAGATCACTCAGTAGCTCAGAATACACTTATTTTCCTCAGTTTACTGAAAGAGATCAGGAGAAGACAACGAGGCGTTCTTTCCATCGCTGTCACTGAAAATGACTTCCAGCGGAACTGACTGATATAGCATGGGGTCTCCTGGAGTGAGTCAGTTTGGTGAATTATAGTAAATGATGGTGTGAGCTCTGACAGCTAGCATCCTGGAATTTGGCCCGCAGCTCCAAATTAGAGTCAGCGAAAACAGCAGAGCGGGCTTCCAGATGTCACACATTTTGGGTCATTGGCTGAAACGGATTTGTTTGTTTACAATTAATGCATCAACTTCAAGATTTTTTTATTTATTTTTTTCCATTTTTATTGAAAAAAGGACCTAAACTGTTTTCAACAACTGCAATATCAATACACAGTATTTGCATAATAATTTACAAAAAGATGTTTTAAAAAAAAAAACTGTACAGTCTCTGGTTTGTGCAGGAAGGCAGGAAGACTCTTGTAGAAAAATAAAGACCCAAGACAGGAGAAGTGTCAGTGTGAGAACAGATGAAATGTTTTAATTCTAATTTCCTCAGCAGAGAAGCAGTGCAGTGTTCTGCTTCCACAGATCTAAGCGTGAGTGTGTGTCACAATAACAGTTAAGAAACATTAAAGGTCTTTTTTGTGTAAGACTGAAGTCAAGTGGTCTACATTGTGACTGAAATATTAATCAGCAGACTACCATGTGTCCGAATTCTGCATGTCCGCCACGCCAAGAACACTCAACTTATTCAATGTTTCAACAGCTAGCCGTTGTTAGATGAGGATAAAGTCTGGTTTCAAATCAACATCAACTAACAGATGAGTGCCGGTTGTTGTCTCTTATATATATGTACACATTTGGCTTTAAGTTAATAAAACAGTCTCTGCTGTTGTGTGGAGAACATTTTCTGGAGAGGAAAAAAAAAGGACATTAAAGCTTTGGAAAACACATCGACAGAATCATGCTCGTCTACATCTAGAAATAACAATATAGGCTGCATCTGCAATCCTCAAAATGGATACTTTAAAAGACAAATAATACATTTTGGCTCCTCAGATTTCCCTTCTAATCATAGAATATGTAACTTAGCAGCACTTATCAACATTCATAACCTTGGCTCAGGGTTGAGTTTACTGTCACGTTCTACCACTGACCGGTATTGCACATAAGAAAACGAAGACCTGCAAGAAGTGGCAGTATACTGCACAGTGAATCACCTCTTTAATACCTCTTCTTCCTGTGACATCTATTGCAGTGTGTGCTCAGAGTGCCTACACCAGGACTGAGACTTTTTTTTGTTAAGGCACACGTTGCAAGAGATGCTATACTTGGACAAGATGACGGGCCGAGGAGCATAGTGTGCTTTAGCTCGTAATCCGTGCGAGGCATCCCTTTCCTGCGTCACGCCATGAGAGCAACACCAAGACCACCACGCTGAACAGGACCGTAAATATACTTTGCTAAGAGGCCAGCTCATTAGCTAACAGTAACCTTTGTGCAGGTGGTTTGGTGCTTTAAATGTTTTAGCCTTTAAAACAAGATTCCTGGATTTAAAATGACTAGAAATTTGTAAATTTGGGTTGACATTTGAAGGTAAATTTCAAAGTTTTACGTTAAAATCCTTTTATTTTTAAATCTATATTTAATTATTTTAGCCAGACATAAACTTATGTGACGTTTAGGCCACACACTAAAAAAGACGCATTATAACCAAGAGGCCTCTTACCCATATTATCCATCTAGATCTACTGCATGCAACCAGTTCATTCTTCACCCCTTTCACCATAACATATAACGTGTGTGGATTCCCATGGTGTCTTGTGTGTAAGCTTCTCCAAAGAGAACCCCATACTCAAATCACAGCCTTTTACAAACTGTCGTGCATTATAAAGAACAGCCATCGGGACCAAATTCATTATCTTTAACATGCCCTGTGGTAGTTTTTAACTCTTCTTTATAACTGCAGTCATATTTCTGATTCTGCTGTCAAAGGCCTTGATTCCAAAGGCAAAGAGTCCAGATTGCATTCAGGGTCTGAAACCACATCTGTGTTTGTGTGCTCGAGTGCGCAGACCTCAACACCCCTCATCTCCCTGTTTTCCTCCACATCAAACTCCTCCTCCATCTCAACTTTTTCGAGAGCCACCTCGTTCTCGTAGCAAAAGGAGTTCCTCGAGCTGGAGGCGTTGGACTTCCTCTCGGCTAGTTCCCTGGCACTACAGTTGGGTGTGCTGGGAACCTCATACGTGTTTTCAAAGCGAGAGTAGTCCACTTTGTAGTAGTTCTTTTCTTCAAAGAGCACTGGCTCGAAGCGGTAGCCCCAGAGGATCTCGCTGGCCACGTAGGAGCTCCGACACTGAGTGGTCATGGCTGTCGCCTCCACCATGCCCTCTAGAATCACTACGATCTCAAACTCTGTCATCTCCAACTCCTGTTTGCTCATCTCATAGAAAGGGCTGTCCTCGTCAATCTCATGCACAATGGTGATTGGAGACACCAGGAAGATTCTGTCAATTCCACTATCGAAGCCTACGTCAATGTCTACCTGATCCAGAGGAATAAACTCTCCCTCGGCGGTGGTGCGGGACTTGAGTAGCTGGGCCCGGACGTGGGCCTCCACGAGGTGACTCTTCCTGAGGTTCCCCACGCGCCACATCAGGCAAAGTTTACCGTCCCTCATGGCCACTGTAGCGTAATGGCTGAACACCAGGGTCTCATTTCTCTTTTTGGGCTTGGCCATCTTGGCCATGACAGCACCGATGATGAAAGCGTCAATGATGCAGCCCACAATGCTTTGGAAGACGACCACAAAGACAGCAATGGGGCACTCCTCCGTCACATAGCGATAACCATAGCCAATAGTGGTTTGGGTCTCCACTGAGAACAAGAAGGCAGCGGTGAAGCTGTCCACATTGGAAACACACATCTGAGTCTCATTCTCTAAGTCCCCGTAACAGAGCGCCACTACCCAGAAGACAAAGCCAAAAAACAACCATGACAGCAGGAAAGAAAGGCAGAATATGAGCAGCATCCAGCGCCAGCGGACGTCCACGCAGGTGGTGAAGATATCGGCCAGGTACCGCTGGCCTTTCTCGCTCATATTGACAAACTGCACATTGCAGTGGCCATCCTTCCTGACAAAGCGGCTCTGATGTTTGCGCTCTGTGTGCACCTTGTTGACTTTGCCGTTCCCGTAACCGTTCGGGACGGCAATAGTGGCCAGCTTCATGCCGTCTTCCTCAGAGGACACAATGCTGTAACGGTGGCTTCGCACACTCCCCATTACTTCCGCCTGGGAGGGCTGGGCCGGTTCTGCTTTGGAAAACAGTCTAAGTTTTTGGTAGAAGCGTTGGAGAAACAGTTTTGAAGAATCTCGGGGACAAACTCAAGCAGAAACTATTGGCAACAGGACTAGATCCTGCAAAGGACAGGAACGGTGGAGAGTGGGCCCGTGCTTCTGCAGGCGTGCTGTGCACCTTTGGTGAGGGCAGGTCACTCCTATCTGACGGCTGCTTTGGACCTCATCAGTGAAATGGGCTGTAGCAATTACAGATAGAGAGAAAAACAGTTTTAAAGTAATTAGCAGGAACCAGAGCAAAGATCAATGTATTTGTGTGCGTGGTTACCTGCAGCCTAAATAATGCAGCGTACACTCAAAGTTAGCAGCGCTATTCTTGCATACACAGACAATATACAAACAGGGTACGCAGTGCAGTCACAAGGCACAGGGAATGCATTGTACGTGTATTATTAGTAGATTAAAAATATTAATCAAGCGCTTAGATTGCTGACAAAGTGGGAAAGAATGTTTACCCTGCTTAATATAAGTATTAATTAGGCAGGTCAGTCCATGGGGAGCTGAGTCAAATTACGGATCAAGTTCATGTTAATCCAGGCAGTCACTGGAACAAAGATACAAGTAGCAGCTGTGTGCAGATGTGTCTCTATCTCTGCACAGACGTGTGAAAGCAATGTTACAACATGTTGCATGCATTTAAAAACATACAGCATGCACACTAACTATTACATTAATTATATTTAATGTCAGTTATCAAGTGCACAGTTTCAATAACATGTGCATGGGCATAGCAGAAACAAATCCACAACTACAGTTTTCACCACCACATCACGGAACACGATTTAATGAACCTTGCCGCATTTCAGAGAGGATGGGTATCTTTCTCTGAAACCCACAGTAACCTTGCGTCATATGTAATAGAGCAACAAGGGCAGCTAAATTAGAAAAGCTATTGACTTGGTGTTTGTGGCATGAGAGGTCCATTAAAATGCAACACCACAGGCTACAAAAGGCCATAGTCAGCCAGACATGCTCTGCTAGTGCCAAAATAACTCCCTACCTCCACTTTTGAAACATCTAAGGGACAATTGTGTCAAAGTGGAAAATATCCATAAAGTCTAAAAGGGACATTTTTATTTTTATTTAGTTTTGGTCGACACAGCACAGATGTCAGAAAAGGAAACTTTCTGTTAAAATAAGTGTGCATTAAACTCTTCTGAAAGTGACTGAAAGTCATTTGCGATAAGATATGCAGGATGAGGTCCTAAATCCCCTGCATCATCTTTGTTTTGCTCAACTAATGATGTCACTGCTGAGGCGAGAAGAAATAGCAATCTGTCACGCACACAATTGGGAATATGGGGCTCCATTCATTTATAGCTCAAATGATGCCAAATATGTTCAGTGGATTGAGTGATTTTAATTGCTACTTAACATACTGTTAATTGCTTTTAACAAATGACTTACATTTTCAGTCAACTTTTTGTTAAGTATTATTTATTCAATTGTGGCACCAAAACAAGACAAACATCAGACTGCACAAAAGCCTAGATTGCACATTAGACTACATCACTGGAGAGAAGTACAGAGCAACACGTCCAACAGAGGGAGGGCATTTGAGTGATTTTTCTAAAGCAGCCTGCAGTAAATGGTGCATACATTTTTGACACAGGTGACCCCCCAGTGCGAATTAAATCTGTGTTCATGCGCTATGACACTGAGGTCATTAAAGCTCCCTCTCTCTTACTTTCATTACAACTGAGATCTTTGTCACTGAGCTTATATCTGCTCCCTATATCACATATTACTGCAGGTTGGTACATGGTGCCAGACCAAGGCTTCCAGAGGCTGCACAACCTGCGATTGTTTGTTTTGCATGTGTTCTCAATTAGAGCCAACAGCTGAGGCAGATGGAAACTGGTTACATAAAGCTGCTCTCTGTTTTTATAACACCAATCAATAACTATGGCGAATCATTCAGCAGACAGAATGTTTTCTTATAAGCTTCTGCAACACCAATCATTTTGAAATAAAAGTATATTTAGATGTTATGATTATAATATATTTAAGAAAAAATAAAATGATTACGAAAAATAATAATTTTTACTCTACAGGATCATTATTATAAAATTCAGTTCATGCAGATATCACGAGCTACAGAGTTTAGTTTACATTACAGATCATCCAGTCTACATCCTGCAATCTACAATGGCAGAAAAAGGCATTGTCTAATAATAAAAATAAGTAGCCTATAATAAAAATAATAATCATCATTTCACGGCATTTCACCAATTGTTAATCACAGTACATGCTTTCGCATTTATACAGGAACACTGATCAGTAATTGCAGTGTAGCTCTTCTTATTGCACATCACACTCCTAATACATTTTTGCCGCTTATTACACCTACCTGTTGGTTCTTACGGCGCAAGTCTGTCGTTTTCTTGTTGTAATAAGTCCCATATGCGCCAGATATGCCCACTGCTGCACTTTAATTTTCGCTTCTCTTTTATTATATTCACTTAGCTTCCCGTCTGTCGCTGCAATTTCTGCCATAACCCTCTCCAGCAATACTGAAGAAGATGTTTGTCGTTGCAAAGACAGACTTTAAAAGCACGTGTGCTTATCCCCGCCCCTGTGGCTGCGACGGCCAATAGAAAGCTGCAGCGCCTGTTCGAGGGTCTGAGCCCAGATGGAAGATACGTCATCCGTCAGAGTGGAGGACGAGGAGAGTGAAACCCCCGTATCTCACAGGGACGATGAAAACATGACGTTGTAACAGGAAATATGAATCAATGTGAGTGCAACGGATCTCCAGATAATCTACAAAACTGCATGTGATATATGAAATTAGTCAACCTATTATATATCGTGTTTGTCCTTTTCTGTTAAATAGTAAAGCAGATGTACAGAGTGGTGCAGAGTACGCTTAATGTGAGTGGGAAATCTGTGACTTTCCAAAATAGCCACTTCTGGTTTGATTTTGCACCCAATGATCATAAGGTGGCAGTGTAGAACTGCAAAGAGGATAAACACACAAGCGCTGGCATCAAATTATGTGATTGAGGAATTATATAATTATTAGCCTATTATAATTGAATGTAGTACCCTGATAATTCTGTTTTCATATTTATTTATTTGATATACTTCCCATTTACAAATATACAGTATATTTTATATTATCGCTGGTTTGTAATACCTTTTGCATTTCGGAGAAGTGTACCTTTTGGTTCAAATTTGAAATGTTTGTTTTGAGTAGCACTTGAACCTCTCAGGTCCCCTTTCTTCTGTGTGCATTAAGGGTCCAGGTGTCAATTTGTTATTGGCCAATCAGAGATGGGTATATTAGCCGACTGTGTTCTGTGAGGGGGTGGGACTAACGAGAGCGACAAACAGAGTTGTAAATTCCGTACAATCTCTTAATTTACTGTTGTTCATCAAAGTTAAGAGCCGGGAGCTTTAAATCATTGTGCATAAGATTAAAATGTGAAACTGAGCCGTGTGTTTCTAGTGTGTGTCAGATGATGTCACACCCGATGCTGCAGCAGAGGTGCAGAGGGCGCGCGACTGCATGGCCAGGAACCTGCGCTTTGCACATACATAGAGCCTCGGGCCGGTTCCACCGCCGGACAGTTTACTGAGTTTTAAGGAACAGTGAGTAGGCTACAGACAATTTGTGAGTAGTTTGTGAGTACCAAACTGATATATAAAAACCTGAGTATTATTTTGTTTTACTTTCTTTCGGTCACCAGGACATTTTAGAGGTGTGAATCACCGGGTTTCAGTATGAATAATATTTGTTATTGCATTCAAGCATTGTAATTTCATGTTGACTGCGTATTGCGATACATGTTGTAAAATAACGCTTATAGTGTCATGGCATAAATGCAGTATAAATGAGTTTTATACTTGCAATAACAGTAAAGCTCAACAACAAGCGAACTTGGCCCCTCTTGCACCCTAGCCAGAGTTATATGGCCAAATCTGACACGTCCTAAGTTTATAATTTAGTAAACCTCGCCAATTCACCTCCCATTCAAAGGGATCATCAGATGTTACATTTAAGAGGTATTCAAAGTTAATCATGTAACAAACCTGGAATTAAGTGGGTGAGCTACACAAGGACAACTTTATTTGTCTAACATTTGTAGCAATGAATTGTATTCATCTAAAGAATTAAAACAGGTTATGAACAATGTATTGTAAGTCACATATAAATATATTTACAAGAGTACATCTTATCAAAGTGTCCATCACAAGTGCACCTTACTACTCTACAAATGGGTTTGCTGCATCACTTCCTCAGTGATGTCAGGGTTCACCGTGCGAGTGCGTCCGATCCTCTTGCTTGATGCAAGGAGAGGACCACGGGACTGACTGCCCTCTACCGGACATCCTCTCCTGTGAAACTCCTCTGCACTGATCAGGGGCACCGGCACCCTCGTGGTCACGTTGAACAGAGCATAGTCCACCTTGTAGTGCCTCTTGCCCTGTTTCAACATTTCCCGAAAGCGCTGGCCCCAGCGGATGTCTGCTGGTGTGTATGAGGTTCGAGTCTGGTGGAGCATACCTGTAGAGTCGCCGGTGTAGGTGAAAGACACCACCAGCTCAAAGTCATCCCCCAGCAGGTCGTCGGGGCCCAGGCTGTAGAGGGGACTGCCAGGCTCCACCTTGTGGATGATGGTGGCCGGTGTGGCGAGGACGATGTCTCTGTTCTGGATGTGCAGGTCCTGGTATGACATCGCAATAGACCCCAGTGGCTGTTTCACATAGCGGACTAGCATGGCCCTGGCGACACCCTCCAGGATGTGATTTCCCCTGAAGTCCCCAAGTCGCCATGACAGACAAAGATTGCCGTCTCGCAGGTTGACCACTGCACATCTGCTGAAGCCAACCGTCTGAGCTCTTTTACGTGCACATGCCATTTTAGCAACAACAATACCAATGATGATGGTGTCAAGGAGGCAGCTAAACACATCTTGAACTGTCACCACAATAATGGCTACAATA